CTGGAATCAGTACCCTAACCAAAATCAGTCAATTAACTCATGCCACATATCGATATGTTCTGAATTTTATTTTGTGGGGAGCCACTGGGGAGCCCAACTCCGGACTGAAACCTTATCTGGCCTAAATGCGCACAATGTATGCATGTACGACGGAGTATCGAGTCTTATTTTTAACGATTTTAGCCTTACATGGCTCTTTAACTCGTGATGCATATATTTACATAATCTATACAAAAATTCTTTGCCGTGCTTTTCAGAAATTTCTTTGCATGTCTCAACTTCTATCGTAGAAATTTTCGATGTAAGAGTGCATGTTTTTACTTCTGTCTAACCTATCTAACATTTCGAGTTTCAGGGAAGAGATAAGAAAAATATATAAAAGGGCAGTATCTCGAATTTGTTGTTATTTGTCGCTTTTAGTGATTTCTTTACACATTTTCTAATTCTTTTTTTTTCGAGCTAAACAATCTATCCAATAACTTCATATAACAATGGAGTATTTGGAGAATAATTGTAATGAAGTTAGAAAAGCACGTTTGGCTTCGTGGTTCGGATACACAATTAACGTAAATTGTGGGACATGGATGTATGAGCGATACATTCCAAAGATATAAGTTAGTTTATGAGAAGGCTTTGTGTCGCTCCGCCAAGTCTTGTACTATTCTTCGAGAAGCTTATGAAGGCTTTGATAAGATTCCAGATGTAAGTATTGTTTGAATAATTTACTCAATCCATAATAGTTAATATGATGATATTTCGGAATTTAAAAAATTGATATATCGCAGGATAACATATAATATTGAGCATAATTACGGCATATGTCAAAATTAATTAAAGCGCCGTAACTTAAAAAAAAAATTACAGCATTACAGCATAAGCCGTGATAGATGTGTTAGACAAGACAGACGAATACACATTATGTATTATATAAAAAAATTTGTTTCCGCATTACAAACATCAAGTTCGCAAAGATACAAAGTTAATACATAAAAATTCACAGTTATACTGTATATTCCCTCCATACCATGCAATGGATACTCTGATAAAAGCTAAATGAAATATCTTTATATCAATGGCGAGCTCGGTGATCCTGGACATGGTGATCCTGGATATGAATCGTTGGCCTTCTTTATGACTTTTTTATCCTTTTTCGGTGTATCTTCTAATGGAGTTGTGCAGACATTATTGTTTCCAGCTATGTAAGGAATTTTGTTGATTTCCTTGGTCGTGAATAAGACATCCGCCTATATTAATTAAAATTAGCTACCATAAAAGGGAAGCCCAAATAATTTATAAGTTCATACCTGCCAATTAATTAGTTCAGCCATATCTTTAGAAAATTTTTCGAAATCATCAAAGGTCTCGGGCACTTTGGTGCACATAAAACAGTTAAGATAGACTGATGGTAAGGGACGGATCATATATTCAATTTTGAGATAGCTGTCTAAAAATAATATTTTTAGATACGTAAATAATTTGCGCTTTCTTATATTCAACCTTTAATCAAATACTTACTAACAAATTGTACCAAGTAAATTCGCGCCTTCTCCCTAGGTATGGTTTGTAATACGGCATTTAAAGTCCTCATCGCATTTCGACATAATTTAACATGGTCATTATGTTCTTTAGTTAATGACGCTTTTCTGCCACTTGAAAATTCAACGACAATTATGACTTGATTCTTCAGGTTTGTTCTTATTACTTTAAATAATCCATCAAATTTAT